TCATCCGCTGCGTCCCCAGGGAGAACTGACCACTTCTCTTCTTTCTCTACAGCTGCACCAGCTGCTCGTGCAGGGCGCACCACCCCACCCGGGACATGCTCCCACACTCGCGGCCTGCTCCTGCATAGCAGGAGTACTGGGACCAGCACCTGGGGTACTTGCGAGCCGTGCATCGCACAGTGGAGGCCTGGATGCGGGCAGACCTCCAGCTCCTCCAGGAGCAGCTGGCTGAGGTCCGAGGGCTGAACTCAAACCTGCAGGCCCTGCTGTAGAGCATGGTGCCCCGTGCTGGTCCTGTGCCTGCTGCCCCCCCAACTACTGTCCTTCCTCCCACTCCTGCCCCCCCTCCCACCTCTTCCTCCTCAACCCCCACACCCTCTTCCTCAATGTCCACACCCCCCACCTCAACCTCTGCACCCTCCACCCCATCCCCCCGGGGATGCCGAGGCCCCCTCCCTCGCCGTGCTGGGAGGCGGTTGGCCCGGCGAGACCTCCACCCCCAATCCCTGAGTTTCCCCTCCCCCTCCTTTCCTTTGCCTCCCCCTTCCAGCTTCCTCCTCCCAGTTTTCCCCCTCCCCTCTCCCACACTCTCTCCTGCCCTTTCCCGCCTCCTCTCCCCCGTCTTCCCACAGTTTTATTCCCCCCCCCCAGTTTTGTGAAATAAAGAGAGTTTCTATTTTTGAACACATATGTCCTTTATTTTTTACATCAGGAAGGGGGGCTAGGGAGGAGTAAGTGGAAGGAGGCGAGGGAGGAATGGGGTACGAGCCCCCGATGGGGAGGACTGGGTTGGCTCTGCGGGCTCCTCGGGGTGGAAGCTCTCCTGAAGCCCCTCAATTGACCCTCCCTCCGGAGGGCAGCCTGCGGCAAGTGCAGCCGGTCTGATGGCCGAGTGCTGTGATGTACCCAGTGTGGGCACTCAGGGCCCTCCAAGTCAGGACTGCTTTGCAAGCGGGGAACCCCTGAGAACTGTCCGTCCGGGGTGGGGGTCGGGTCCCTTTAAGCACAGCCCTCGGCTAGCCTGAGACAGCAGCTCTATACTCTAAGTCCTAATCTGTTGCCCTGCCGGCACTGCTTCCGGCCGTCCTTAACCTCGGTTCAGGGTCCACTCAGTGTGGACATGCTACTTCGAATTAGCAAAACACTAATTTGAACTAGTTTTTAAGTCTAGATGCACTAATTCGAATTAGCTTAGGTCGAATTAGTGCTGTAGTGTAGACATACCCTAGTAGATTAGTAAGGTGTGATTTCCCTTTACAGAAACCATGTTGACTTTTCCCCAACAAATTATGTTCATCCATGTGTCTGATGATTTTATACTTTACTAGGGGGAAGTGATTTCCAGCCTGTTCATGTCCCAATCCTGCAGACTCCACAGATGCCTCTTCATCCCTGCTTTCCCCCTCCCCCATCCAGATCCTGCCTCCAGGGAACTCAGGGCTGCTCCATTGCCTAGGCACCCATCTCTGCTAAGTCACCCCTGTCTGGATTCACTGAAGCTCTTGCAGTCAGGTTCCCTGAACTCTGGTGCACAATATAACCTTTGGGCTTAAGATAGCCATCTCCTGTTCTCTAGTTACAGCATAGGCAGGAAGAGGTTATTTTGGTGGCCAGCAGCAGCCTGGAGGTGTTAGCTGCCTTTTGACACTGTGCAGGTAGGAAGGGACAAGCTGCTTCCAGCCACATGGATTCACTGAAGCTCTTGCAGTCAGGTTCCCTGAACTCTGGTGCACAATATAACCTTTGGGCTTAAGATAGCCATCTCCTGTTCTCTAGTTACAGCATAGGCAGGAAGAGGTTATTTTGGTGGCCAGCAGCAGCCTGGAGGTGTTAGCTGCCTTTTGACACTGTGCAGGTAGGAAGGGACAAGCTGCTTCCAGCCACATGGAGG